AATTAAACAACCCATTCAAACAACCCAATTAAACAACCCATTCAAACAACCCATTTAAACAACCCATTCAAACAACCCATTCAAACAACCCATTCAAACAACCCAATTAAACAACCCATTCAAACAACCCAATTAAACAACCCATTTAAACAACCCATTCAAACAACCCATTCAAACAACCCATTCAAACAACCCAATTAAACAACCCATTCAAACACCTTTCCCATGAAGTTAAAACTTATGAGTTTAGTAAAAAAAATTAATTCAATCTATAGCTTTCCGTTTTACTTCCATTATTTTTAACTGTAACCAGAATGAACAAATTTTTCTCCTTGATCCTGATCATATTCAGGTGCGGCGCTACGTCAAGGGCTTGTGAGGAGAATTACCAGATGTCAGCTCTGCCATAGTTGAGTCGAAGTATTTGATGATTGCTGATGAGATGTCTTATTATATGACCTCGTAAGCTTGGTTGACCTCTTGAAGTGATGAGTAGTATGTTTGGTTGACCTCTTGAAGTGATGAGTAGCATGTTTGGTTGACCTCTTAAAGTGATGAGTAGCATGTTTGGTCGACCTCTTGAAGTGATGAGTAGCATGTTTGGTCGACCTCTTGAAGTGATAAGTACTTGTATTGTAGGTGAGGCAGCTGCAGATGAATAAAGGTCTTCTTGAAGATCAAGAGTTACTGTTGTTGACTTGGATGCATCTGTAAAGAGGGGGGGGGGGGCAAGATTTCATTAAGCCACCCGAACCATAGTCCGGGTGGCTCCTATCCAAGACTCTCGCCCTAGAGGGAACATGAATGGGCGCAATCCCATTGTTGAGTTTGGTAATAGTTGCATAGTCTTTTTCTAGTATAAAGAGATGGGGACTCTGTACATTTATCGAAGCAGTTTGTTTGACGTCTCGGCAAGACCAAATTAAGAAATTATCCCTAAAGTATGATCTGAATCTAATTTATCAAGGTTCAATTCTGTTCGTGGCGGGCGGATCCTTGAATGGTTTTTTTAGTAACATTCAATATTTAATCGCATTCTATATAAGATTTAAAATCCTCAACCAACACAGCAAAAACACACAGCCATTCAACTTCATACACCTGTTGAAATTTGATTAGTAAAAATGTCATACATTAAGTTCCAAGAGTAGCTACCAGATCATTCAGCATAAATCTTAATGAGTGGAATGAAACTCACTTAAAAAGTTCAAAATTTCTAAAGGAAATAAATACATTAACTTCCACAGCTTTCAACATCATATTCACAATGAAATGCATCACATCCTCAAGATGTAGAATTTTTTTTTATTTGTATTCCAGTTTTTCTTTTCCAAATTAATGGTCCATAATTAGTTGTACGTGTATGCAGAGGCGTAGCGAGGGGGGGGGGGGGGGGGGGGCGGGGCGGCGGACCGCACCGGGTGACACCATTTAGGGGGGTGACACCAAGGCAAAAAATAGCAAAATATATAGAGAAAAATTTGAGGGGGGGTGCAAATCGAAAGTTTGAGGGGGGGGGGGGGGTGGTGCAAATCGAAAATTGTGAAAGTTTGTCCCCGGGAAGGGTCGCTACGTCTCTGGGGGTGACACCATTAAGTGCCGCACCGGGTGATACCCGACCTCGCTACGCCACTGCGTGTATGTAAAGGAAAAAAGTTCAGCCATCAACTTGTTAACTACGTGTGTATTTTCCCCAAATGTGTAGCGTGAAGACGGAAACGATGAATACGAGACTCATGACCAAAAAAGGAACAGGTCCAACTTTGATGTAAAAAAGTCCTCTGTGTAAAAACGCACATGCCAGCACTACATCCAACCGCCTTGCGTGTACCACCACTACTTGAAGCTGGTGCTTTCCTTTGTCTAGCTGTGGTGCCGCCAGATCTTGGGGCTATTATCTTTGATGTTCCACCACGGCCCTCCCCAACAACAGATGTGGAACTTGTTTGTGGAAGTACCATGTCTACGTCGACTAGGTACGGTGTAAGAAATTGGAAGTGGACTTTTGATCCTTGAATGATCTTTATTTAGGGGAACCAAGTATTTTTACTTCATAATACTCCTGCGATCAACTAAACAAATAAATGCCATATTAATTGACTAGAAGTATGTTATGATAAAGCTACGGTGCTTAGACTTTCAAACAAAAATTACAGTTAAGTAGTCAATTGATAAAATATATTTTTTGACACGGCTACATAGCTATTATAAATCATATTTATAGTTATTAAATAATGGAATTTAAAGCGTTTTATTGTCTTTTTCAAGCATGTTTTAGTTACACTTGGTTAATTTAACTATTCTTGTGAAAGTTATTTCCCTTGAATAATTCCTGCATCGTAGGTTGACAGCTTACATATAAATACAACTTTAAATTATTATTTGCTACGAGCCGGCCCGCGGCATAACATACGCCGCTATTTAGTTGTTTCTAATTTTCAATAATTCATAATTTGTGAATTCGACAGTACCAACGCTCCACTGAAAATATTTCTTTAAAACACTATAAGTAGCTCGTTAAGGACCATAACCCCCCCCCCCCTTCCTTCCCTCCCCCCCTCCTCCCCCCCCCCCCCCCCCCCCCTCTACGTTTAAAATCGTTGGCTCTGCTTGTAAACATTTAGAGTGAACACAGCTCACTAAAACCATGTAGGGGTGGGGAGGTAGGGAGAGCGTTTGCAGCTTGTTTTCTAACGGCTCGAAGAAGAGAATTATATATATAGATAGATTGTAAAAATTATATAGAGCTGAAGTTCTAAACAAAAATAGTTTGGTAGGTTTTCTAGCATTATCAAGTTGAAAACAAACACATCATTAGCCGTTGTATATTGCAATACTTAATGTTAGTAGACTTACAACAAATTCGCCTAAAATCGTCTTAGTCGCAAATTAATAATCTGATTAATTAATTGTCTTTTTCATATTTTTCAATCTCTCCTAAAGGATTCGTAAATAACCATTGTAGGCTGGAATCTATAACATTTATAACCTTTTATTTTTCAAAAACAAAAAAATATCGTTACATGATCACATAATATAGACAATTTACAATTATAACTAAGGACAGTCAAGCTTAAAAATAGGTAAGTTCCGTTCTGGAACTCACCTTGGGAGGTAAACCCACAGCCCAACACCACCAGAACTGTGGGTTTTTTTCAGTGTTTTTTCCCCCAGTCTATTTTTCTCAGAATGGGGGGGGGGGGGGGGGGCACTTGAAATTTTCTAAGGTGGCGGGAGAGGGAGATGGGCTATGTCGTAAAGTACAAAGTAGACTCGTGGATTTAGCCACAATTTCATCAACATGTGATTGCAAACTGGAATTGAAGGAATTAATACAAAGTTTTGCGAGAAGGATTCAAGTAAAATTTGATTTTGATGTCTCCTCATGACGTGTATGTAAGTCATAATAAATTAATTATGAATATGTCACTTTTAATTAATAATTTTCTTATACATATGTTTTAGTAATTAATTTGTGGTGAAAGGGGGGCGTTTTAATAAGTTTTTCCTAGGACGCTAAATAACCTGCGCCGGAACTGATCATATTGTATGATTAAAACACAAAACAAACATCGCCTTCATGTATTAGCGAGGTCTGGTCGCTCACATCCATTTTTAACAGATTTATTGACTATAACTTCATCTACCACTTCTTTTTTTCTTACAAAATATTCATTTGTTTCACTATATTTTTGGCTAATTGTTTCACTATAATTTTGGCTAATTGTTTCACTATATTTTTTTGGCTAAAGTAATACCACACTCAGGCAAAAACTATAGACCAATGAACAGTTTGTTCACAAAGTTGAACTTATTTAAATCCTCCCACATAATGTAATTGATAACGACGAAGAAGAATTCATGTTGGCCTACAAATTTACACTGTTTTTAAGTATAGATTAAAACAACAAAAAAATCTGTATTCTTATAATGCTACTTGCCACATGTTTCGTGACAAAAATCTCTAGTAGTAAAACACGAACTATTTATTAACAAACGGCTGAGTCAACATTTCAGTTCATTCAAAATTTAACAAACAACAGTTTTATTTTATACAGCAGATGTTTCAATTTAAATATGTAATTTATAATTAAAATCTTATTCAAGCAGAATATAATAAAAGTTGCAATATTTTCCGTTATTATAATATTAAATTGTTGAAAGAATAAAATGTAAATTATTTTGCTATTTATTAAGCAGCCGTGTTTCTATTTACATTAAATTACAAAGTAACTTTTAGTCTTGTGGCGAAGTATATTTGTTTCGCTGCTTGCTACAACTCGAATTGTTTACAAGGTGAGTCTACGGTAACACGAGACAGGAATTCAGTAGTTAAAAAAGGCTTGAAAAACGTCAAGACACAAAAGTTTTATTATTTCCTATTGTATCTCACAGTTACTTGCGACTGTGTGTTCATAAGGAACGAGAGGAATGGGCGTGTCCTTTATTTTTTTCTTCGGAACTCTATGTAAGTATGTTCAATATTTTCATCAACTGACGATCAATATTGTCTCTCTGTTCTTACTAGATCTTTTTTACCAGTTCAGTTATTGCATTGGTGCTGCTTGCCCTAAATAACCGTATTACTATTAAGTATTCATCAAGTGGTACTCTTTGAGAGGGCATACTCAATAACGGATTACAGAGCGTTATGTCTCTTTCCATAATAATCCGTGCCTCGGTACAAACAGCAATTATTTGTTTTCTGTCTTATTTGTTGACCTATTGGACTGTGTGGCCTAGAGGTATAGCGCTAGAATGCTAACCCGAAAGTCTCGAGTTTGAAACTTGGTTCAAATCAGTAGAAAAACATAGCGTCATAACAATCAAGATTCAAGAAATATAGCGCCGGCATAGTTTACATTTGAGTATCTCAGGTTTAGAAAACAAGTTCACGCGTCTAAAACTACACCATTGATAATGCATTTATGAAAACCTCCACAAACAATGCATCAACCCGCAGTAACGCGCGGGACGGTTACGCTTTTAATCCTATAAAAATGTATTATTTTACAGTTGTTGCCAATGTCTTGGGATGTCTGAAGCCGTGTACCAAGCTCTACAAGCCGATTTGCGGCAGTGACGGCAAGACCTACGGCAACCAATGCGAGCTGGACAACGCCAACTGCCTGAACGGTGGGCGGATCAACGCGCTGTTTGAGGGGGACTGCATCAAGGGCTGCTACAAGGGGGACGCCAACAGGACGTGTCCGGTCAAGGGTTGCCCCAGGTTGCTGAACCCTGTCTGCGGCAGCGACAACAACACCTACAACAACGACTGTCTCCTGGACGCGGCCAATTGCGATCTGCCGGCCGATAAGAAGATCACGGCTAAATCCTGTGGCAGATGTACGTATGCATGTTCTAGGTGCAGCTTCAATATAACATGGTAGTAGTCTAGATCTACACATTGTCTCAATGTTAGATGTGGGTAGTCTAGTTCTATATGGTGTCTCAATGTTAGATGTAGGTAGTGTAGTTGTATGTGGTGTCTCAATGTTAGATGTGGGTAGTCTAGTTCTATATGGTGTCTCAATGTTAGATGTAGGTAGTCTAGTTGTATGTGGTGTCTCAATGTTAGATGTGGCTAGTGTAGTTGTATGTGGTGTCTCAATGTTAGATGTAGGTAGTCTAGTTGTATGTGGTGTCTCAATGTTAGATGTAGGTAGTCTAGTTCTAAATGGTGTCTCAATGTTATATGTGGGAGTTCAACTTATAGATACAATGTTACATGTGGGTAGTCTACTTCTATATGCTGTCTCAATGTTAGATGTGGGCATTATAGTTCAACTGATAGCTACAATGTTAGATCAGTTAGTCTAGTTCTATATATATCTACTATGTTAAATGTATATATGCTAGTTCTCATATAGCCACAATATTAGATGTGGTTAGCCTAGTTCTACAGAGTGCCTGAACTTTGGATGTAGCTAGTCGAGTTCTGTTTACTGTCTAAATGTTGGAAACAGGTAGTCTAGTTTTACACATAGCTACAATGTTAGATATGGGTGGTCTTGTTCAAATTATTTCTTCAATAAGACTTAATGTTATTTAGTTTTGCTTTTAGCTGTCGGTAGTTAAATTCTACCTACAATCTCTATTTTAAATTTAGAACTACTTAATTTTTTGTATCAATGATTATTTAATTATTTATTGGATATATTTTAAATGTTGGATGCATATAGCCCAGTTGTAATTTTATGGTTTTGATTTTTGATAAAGTAATGTAATACTCTCTCTCTGCCGATTAGCTCAACCACGAAATTGTCACACACAAAAAATTAAACCGTTTTTTTAAACTAGTTTTAAAACTGTATAGAAGTGCTTTATAAATAACTAACATTAAAAAATCAACCCAAAAAAGGCAGGGATACTTCTTTAAATATAATATTTGACAGTCGCTATAGTAAGGTTCGACAGTAAATGTGTAATAAATTACAGCAGTTTTTTCTTGCTAAACATGTATAAAAACATGTATAAATGTATAAATTTATTGCACATTAGGTTAATTTTACTTGTAAAGTGCATTATAAACAAGTAATTTGTTGTGTTGTTCCTGTAAAGGTTCCTACACCTGCACCAAGCCCTGCCCCTTCCTGTGGGCGCCAGTCTGCGCCAGCGACGACCTGACCTACGCCAACATGTGTGAGCTGGGCAACGCCAACTGCGGCAGATCTGACGGCCAGAAGCTGACGGTCGTGGACTGCATCAGGAAGTGCCGCAAGGTGGACGTACCCAGGCCGTGCCCGGTGGTCGGGTGCGGCCGGGATTTGAACCCGGTGTGCGGGAGTGACGGCAGGACCTACAACAACGACTGTCTGCTGGACGCCGCCAACTGCGGACTGCCCGCGGCCCGTAAGGTCAAGGTCAAGTCCTGCGGGAAATGCGCTTAAGATATCGGTCTGATCGGTCTACGATAATGCTATCACAGTGGTTCTTAACCTAGGGTCGATCGAACCCTAGGGGTCCGGTGGATCAGTCTCAGGGGTTCAGCAGAGGTCAATAAACACATTCGACTTATATGATTCGTGATCGCATTTTGTTAGTGTGGACAATAGACGTATTCGGGGAATGCGCATATGAAAAGTGTGGGGTTCGGTGCCACCAAAAAGGTTAAGAACCACTGCTTTATCATGATAACATTTTATTTGTTAACACACGTTTGGTTAAATTTCTTTATTTAGTGTAATATAGGTATATACACACCTACTTGGGATGGTAAAAATGTCAATATTTATATTGGGTAAACTATATTCGTTCCATCAACTATAAAAATGTGTTTTAGTAACTGAAACCCATGTATGTTTCTAAGAGTTTCAATTACTGTCTAAGCTCTTTTAGCTCCAGCTGTGGGAGTTTATCATTTGTATAAAGCTATAGCTTGCAGTTTTAAAGTATTTATAGTTATTAACTTTATGTAAAATCACACTTATTTTCTACCAACAAAGCGCCTCCTATCAGTTTTGAAATGATGCGTCCGTCTCTGTTAAAAATGGTTCACAGTAAACATGAAAGTAATGTAATGGACAACAACGAATTAGACAAAAAGCCATTCATCGTTCTTTTTGACACGGATAAAATCGTGTTTTTTGTTGTTTTTTTTTTGTTGTTGTTGTTTTTTTTTCAATTTGCCTTTATAGCTGTCGTAAAAAAAAAATGAAAATGAAACATTTTTCAGAAATCAATTATTTCATTGCGTGTAATGCGACATTTCCATTAATTTCTATGGAGTCGAAATCATCATCTGACTATCACTTTCGCCAGCCAAGCTTTGATTGATTGCAATAGAACTCTGTGATCCATTTTCTGAAAACCCCACTTTTTACTGATATGTACTCAAAAGTTTGACGTTGGTATACGTATGCCATATTTATTTATATTTACAGTGTTAAAATTAAAAAAAAAGACAATTGTTTTAGGCATGTTAAAACGATTTTTTAATTACCAAAAGGTTTAAAAACATCGAATACATTTAATCTTCAGTAAAGCTTGACAAAAAACTTTAGAATAAAGTTGTATAACTTCAATTTAAATAACACAGTACACGATTTTTAAACATGTAATTGACCTTTCGAGAATACTCTCGTTGTTGTCTACTAATCATAGCACATATTTTTTCTTTATAAAACGCACATTTTCTAGCATGTTATTTATATCTCGACGGACTTTGAATTCTCAATAATTGCCTAAGTGAAGTAATCTTTTATAGTTTTAAATTATTGTTTCGAATTTTACTGCACTTAATTATACATCATGACAATTGTAGATATATATTGTTAGAAATGACGGTGGACATATGAATGTTGTGCTAATGAAAATATATATAACAAAAAATATTTATAATTTTTATGTTTTCGTTATTTTCTAAGTAGAGAATGTTAAATAGCTTATGTTGATTATATAATAGTTTATTTATACACGTTTTAAAACGGACACAATATTATCTTCACTTCCACCAAACTATGCAGTTATCTTATTTATCACATACAATTTTAGTGAAAGCAAAATGTTACTTTATGTTGATCGATTAGCTGTAAACAAAGTTAGCTTGAAACAAGTATAATTTTAAAAAATATAACATTCATTTTTTGTGTAAGAGTTTGAATTCTTTAACAAAAACTTATATCGTAGTGCTTAGGCCCTAGTGTTTAAGTGTTTAGTATTTAGTTTACAAAACAAACAAACAACGCACCAGTTATTGGTGACTTGTGTCAAGTTTAAGGACAAAAAAGAAAATATCATTGATCTTTTCCGTCGTAAATTGTTATGGAAGTGTTCTTCAGCGGCGTGCTGTTTACAGGCATTGAAAGTAAACTTTAAAACCATTTGTTGTCATACAATGTAAGACAGCTATAAGAGCGAACTCAAGCGCGAGTTGTTATAATTAATTAATTAATTGTTTTAAAAGCTGTTAAGTTTTGAATTCAATGTTTCGTTTAACTAGGAGAGATGTAGGCAACTGGCAGCGAGAGATCTTGTTTTCGGACACCAGTTACTATAGATACACAGAGAAGTTCGTTAACCTTTGAACTGTGGGGCACGTCAGGTCGTTTGTTGGAAAACAAGCTATTGTTGGTCTAGTTGGTCAAAATGGTCTAGTTGGTAAAGTTGGTGTCTTGGTCTAGTTGGTCAATGTGGTGTCTTTGTCTAGTTGGTCAAAGTGGTGTCATGGTTTAGTTGGTCAAAGTGGTGTCTTGGTCTAGTTGGTCAATGTGGGGTCATGGTCTAGTTGGTCAAAAAGGTCTAGTTGGTTAAAGTGGTGTCTTGGTCTAGTTGGTCAATGTGGGGTCATGGTCTAGTTGGTCAAAATGGTCTAGTTGGTCAACGTAGTCAACGTGGTGTCTTGTTCTAGTTGGTCAACGTGGTGTCATGGTCTAGTTGGTCAAGGTCGTGTTATGGTCTAGTTAGTCAACCTTGGTGTGATGGTCAAGTTGGACAATGTGATGTGCTGGTGTAATTGGTCAAAGTGGTGTCTTAGTCAAGTTGGTAAAGTTGGTGTCTTGGTCTAGTTAGTCAAAGTGGTGTCTTGGTCTAGTTGGTCAATGTGGTGTCTTTGTCTAGTTGGTCAATGTGGTGTCTTTGTCTAGTTGGTCAAAGTGGTGTCATGATCTAGTTGGTCAAAGTGGTGTTATGGTCTAGTTGATCAAAGTGGTGTTATGGTCTAGTTGGTCAAAGTGGTGTCATGGTCTAGTTGGTCAAAGTGGTGTTATGGTCTAGTTGGTCAAAGTGGTCTAGTTGGTTAAAATGGTGTCTTGGTCTAGTTGGTCAATCTGGTGTCATGGTCTAGTTGGTCAGGTCAACGTGGTGTAATGGTCCAGTTGGTAAAAGCCATGGTCTAGATGGTCAAGGTGGTGTAATGGTCTAGTTTTAGTATGTCAATGGAGTATCATGGCGTCGTCAGTCAACGTCGTGTCATGGTGTAATGGTGTGCTGGTCAAGCTAGTTGACGTCGTGTCGTCGTCACGTTAGTGGAGGTGGTATCATGGTCAAGTTAGTGGAGGTGGTGTAATGGTCAAGTTAGTGGAGGTGGTGTCATGGTCAAGTTAGTGGAGGTGGTGTCATGGTCAAGTTAGTAGAGATGGTGTAATGGTCAAGTTAGTGGAGGTGGTGTCATGGTCAAGTTAGTAGAGATGGTGTAATGGTCAAGTTAGTGGAGGTGGTGTCATGGTCAAGTTAGTGGAGGTGGTGTCATGGTCAAGTTAGTGGAGGTGGTGTAATGGTCAAGTTAGTGGAGGTGGTGTAATGGTCAAGTTAGTGGAGGTGGTGTCATGTTCAAGTTAGTAGAGATGGTGTAATGGTCAAGTTAGTAGAGATGGTGTAATGGTCAAGTTAGTGGAGGTGGTGTCATGGTCAAGTTAGTAGAGATGGTGTAATGGTCAAGTTAGTGGAGGTGGTGTCATGGTCAAGTTAGTAGAGATGGTGTAATGGTCAAGTTAGTGGAGGTGGTGTCATGGTCAAGTTAGTAGAGATGGTGTCATGGTCAAGTTAGTGGAGATGGTGTCATGGTCCAGTTAGTGGACGTGGTGTCAGGGTCAAGTTAGTGGATGTGGTGTCATGGTCAAGTTAGCCAACAAACGTCGACCAACCTGGAAGTCACAAGTTCAACTCTCCCAATTGTAACGCAGCAGTAAAAATAAAATGTTATCGTGTGTGATTTGATTTTATATTGATAAATGTGTTATAAATTAAATTTCCCCGTTGATCAACAACATCTTAAGATATACATTTTATTTGTATAATTTCGTTTAATTATATAGAACTTGTGGATATTTTAGTGGAGAGATAGTTGCTGAAGTAACATATGAATGTAGAGTGACACATTCCATTTTATGAACTGTGCCGACTAATGAATTCAAGCCAGAAAAGCCTGACATCTAAATCTTTAAGTGCATGAGATTTAAGAAAGCATCATCTTGGCCCCTTTAAAATGAAATGTTAAGGGAGCAAATGGAAAAGTACTTATTTTTTGTCATCTAAATACAAACAGGCAAGCAAGTGGGACAATGATGCAACACATTTTATGGCCCTTTTATTTAGATTTGGACATTTAAAGCCGAATTATCATTGAAAGATAAAACAAGGTACACATGCAAAATGTCAGTCGTTCTTTTCAAGATCCCAGTAAATACCTAGGGTTAAATTATCACTAGGAACAGGGAAGATTATTGTCTTGACCATTTAGCAAATACGTTTTATCACACATTTAAACACAATGGGATTTTATGGCATTGTTTATTCATAGTTTACTGACATAAATGTATGTGCTGCGTGGAAAGGTTGTTTGGGACTAGCTGTCCTATTTTGTTGGTGGCCATTGTTAAATATCAGCGATATGTTAGTCATATACAGCTCCATACATCTTTTACACTGTGCTGTAAATTACATACAGCTCCATACAGACTTTACACTGTACTGTTAGGCGCACATAAAATTCTATAGATGCTTTACTTTGAACTACTTTAATCACATTTGCTCCATACAGACTATACACCAAGGCCGCTCTATGAATGTCTTACACTGTACTGTATGTCAAAGGCAGGGGCGGAACTACAGTGCCGCCAGACCCCGCAATGCGGGGGGGCCCAGGCCGTTTAGGGGCCCATGGCCGACCATAATCAATTTTTTAATAGTTAAAAAAATAATTTCTAGTAACAAAAAGATCTAATACAGTAGTGATGTTCTACAATAACAACACACGCTGTTTCGTAAAGTAAAAAAATATGTAGGCTACATAACTTGTAGTGTGAAAGATAGGCAACCGTTCAAACCACTTCCATGACTTATTTCCCTTTTTAAATAGTCAAATATGTGTGCTCTTAGGAAACTTTTAATAGATTTGCACTAAACAAATTAAAAAGCAATCACTTCTCCTAACTGTTATTTAAAAATAAATAATAAAGAATGACATAGTATAAAAAGGAAATGTATTACAATCTAATAATATAAATGCTAAAAAACATAAAAATAAACATAAGGCGAGAAACCATTACACATACAAAGCTTTCATGCTTCATATTCTTTTGACCGACTTGTCAAACACTTCCTCGGCTTAATAAAACCATAGAACTGGCTGGTGACCTACTTACCAGCCTTATTAAGGAAGCATTATGCCAAACATTAAAACAGAGAATTTCAAAACAGACTAATAGCACTCACACAATTGATGTGTTGTTTTAACATGTTTTAATAAAATTAAAAACCAAGAATTTTTAATATTTTTCAAATTTCGATCATGCCCGTATTGAGTATTCTATGTTCGTATTTCGTATATAGTGTCATATATATGTATATATATATATATATATATATATATATATATATATATATATATATATATATATATATATATATATATATATATATATATGGGGCCCCAAATTTTTTTTTGCGGGGTGGCCCTTTTTTTCTAGTTCCGCCACTGGTCAAAGGCCGCTCTATGAATGTCCTACACTGTACTGTAAGTCAAAGGCCGCTCTATGAATGTCCTACACTGTACTGTTAGTTAGGCCGCTCTATGAATGTCTTACACTGTACTGTTAGTTAGGCCGCTCTATGAATGTCCTATACTGTACTGTTAGGCCGCTCTATGAATGTCCTATACTGTACTGTTAGTTAGGCCGCGCCGCTCTTTGAATGTCCTACACTGTACTGTTAGTTAGGCCGCTCTATGAATGTCCAACACTGTACTGTTAGTTAGGCCGCTCTATGAATGTCCTACGATGTACTGTTAGTTAGGCCGCTCTGTGAATGTCCTACAATGTACTGTTAGGCCGCTCTATGAATGTCCTACACTGTACTGTTAGTTAGGCCGCTCTATGAATGTCCTACACTGTACTGTTAGTTAGGCCGCTCTATGAATGTCCTACACTGTACTGTTAGTTAGGCCGCTCTATGAATGTCCTACACTGTACTGTTAGTTAGGCCGCTCTATGAATGTCCTACACTGTACTGTTAGTTAGGCCGCTCTATGAATGTCCTACACTGTACTGTTAGTTAGGCCGCTCTATGAATGTCCTACACTGTACTGTTAGTTAGGCCGCTCTATGAATGTCCTACACTGTACTGTTAGTTAGGCCGCTCTATGAATGTCCTACATTGAACTGTTAGTTAGGCCGCTCTATGAATGTCCTACACTGTACTGTTAGTTAGGCCGCTCTATGGATGCCCTACACTGTACTGTTAGTTAGGCCGCTCTATGAATGTCCTACATTGAACTGTTAGTTAGGCCGCTCTATGAATGTCCTACACTGTACTGTTAGTTAGGCCGCTCTATGGATGTCCTAC